GTGTTCCAGATGTCAGACGAGCTTGATATCCAGCGTCGCTTGCCAAGCGGGACCAGGGGTCTGGTTGCTTCACGCAAGGGGTTGTGCTCTGGTGTAGGCAACGATAGAGCCGGAGGCTGGTGTACAGCCACCATGGACGGCTCATCCGGTATAATGCCGCGGCTACACTCCTCTTTTTGTTCAGTTATGAGGATCTGAACCTCGGAGGCGACGGCTGCAATTGAGCATGCCAAGATGGCGGCATCCTCAAGTGGGTCCGGAATGGGGTCGATCTCCGTAGGCAAATTACGGTGAGGCTCCATCAGATGTCCCAAGCGGCTCAAACCATCCACGTTTGAATTCTTACGTCCGGCCTTATGCATCACTTCAAAGTCGTAGGCTTGAAGCTTGAGCGCATATCGAGCTAGCTTTCCCAGAAGATCTCGAGCGCGTGCAGTTCGCAAAGACCGAACCGCCATCGAATCCGTGATGAGTACAAAATGAGTGCCGTACAAGTAGGGGCGAAAGTGTTTAATTGCCCATAAGGCAGCGTAGGCCTCTCCATCTGCCGCGCTGTAATTCAGCTGTGAGCCAGTCATAGCCTTACTAGCAAACTGAACGGCGTATTCATATCCTTTGTTGTCCTGCTGGGCCAGGCACGCGGCGACGGCAGTGCGGCACCAGTCGACTTGGACCAAGAACGGGCGTCGGAAATCAGGTGCGCGGAGAACAGGCTCCCCTAGCAAAGCATTACGTAGCTCTTGGAAAGCGTCCTCTTCTCGCGGACCCCAGCACCAGGGTGTCCCCTGCTTAAGTAGTGCATACAATGGCTGTGCAATCAAGCCGAAGCCAGGGATAAGTTCCCAGTAGTAACCAACAGCTCCCAGCCATGCTCGTACTTCGCGAACATTGGATGGCGACGGAAGTTCTGCAATTTTCATGACGTTGGTGGGGTTAGGTCCCACGACACCACGTACTCCGTCAAGTAGATGACCAAGGAAAACCACGCGTTGTTGGCCAAACGTGCACTTTTTAGCTGCGATCTTGAGACCAGCCATTCGGAGAAGGTCGAACACTTGCTGAAGATGTCGTACATGATCTTGTAGTGTTGGGCTGAAGATAAGGATATCATCCAGATAAACCACTACACACCGTTCCCGCGGTGGGCTATCCGATGAAGCAGGGGGTGGAGGCGAATCCTCTAGTAGTGGGAACAGAACCTTGTGCATCAGGGTAGTGAACACGGCGGCTGCCCCCTTTAGACCCATGGGCATTCGTACATATCGATACTGAGCTGTGGGCGTGGCAAATGCCGTACGCTCCTTAGAAGCCTCGTCCGCCATCGGGACTTGCCAGTAGCCCGACTTCAAGTCCAGGCTGGAGTAGTAACGAGTCTCGCCACCCGGAGGTGCAGCAATATCCAAAATATCCTGGATGTGGCCTATCGGAAACCGGATGTCCTTAGTGACGTCGTTGACCCTCCGCATATCCACACAGGG